CCTGGGTGGCTCAGTCAGCTAAGCATCTGACTCTTGATTTTGGTTCAAGTCTTGACCTCAGCGTCGTGAGATCAAGCCTGGTGTCTGGCTCCGTGCTGGGCGTGGAGCCTCTTAATATTCTCTCTCTCTCTCTCCCTCTCTCCCTCCCCCACCACCTCTCTAAAAAAAGCGGGGAGGGAGAAAAAGAAAAAGAAAGTATTCGAGAGCCTAAGGAATCAGAGGCCACAGAGGAAATGGGCCAGGAGATGAGGGGAGAGATAACAGTCAGAGAGAGGGGGAGTCAGGGAGATAGAGACCAGAGCCAGAGCACGGGAGATGCAAGTAAGAGACAGAGCTGAGGTGACGGCGTCAAGGACCGGAGTCATCGGGGAATGGGGGCAGCGGCAGGGAGGAGGGCCCAGAATTTAGAGACCTGGAGAATCAGAAACCCGAACAAGGTAGCAAAAAGATAAAGTTTGGGAAAAGGAGGAACTCAGAACAGGTAGGGCTTGGGGAAGGAAGAGACCCGCCTTCCTAGGGCCGGGAGCAGGGCGAGGGCGCTGGGATGGAGCAGACAAGGATGGGGAAAACGGCTGGTCAGGGAGGATAAATTAAGCAGGAACACAGATCTCCACCGGCGTGGGCTTTCTTCCGTGCTGAGTCTTGGGTTAAAGGGAGAAGCCATTGCCAGCGCCGCTCTGTCCTTTCAGTTCCCACCTGTCTGTGCCAGGGGAAGGGGGGTGGGGGGAGGCCGCCGCCGCTGCTCCGGAGCCTGAGGTAACGCCGCCCCCCGGGGGCTCAGGTGAGGTTCTGAGGAGGGGCAGGAGGGGCTCCTCTCCTCCTCCGGATTTCACTAGGACCAGGCCCCCACAACCAGATGTCTAAGCCTTCAGAGAACAGGCCCCTCCCCTGCTGGGAATGCAGAGGCCGGGAGAGGACACAGGAGTAGGGTCCGGGCTGGCTTGCGGGGGGGTGGGTCCTGGGTTTTAACACGGGGCTGCCAGGGGCCACAGGGAAGGGCAGCACCGGGTTGAGGAGACCGGACTGAGGGTTCGCAGAGAACTGGAAGAACATCAGCCCCATTGGATCATGTGGCCCTTGGCCAGGAGTCATGGTTCTCAAGAGGAATCCCTTGTAGTGGAGGCAGCCCTGTGCTGGCAGCCGGGCTCTCCGACCCGTGAGAAGAGAAAGGCGGAGCAGGGCCTTCACAGCTGAAGCTGTGTAACACTCTGCTTTGGGGCTCGGGGTTTCCCTTAAACCGAGGCCAGTGGGGATGGGGGCCTCTGGGGGAGGAGAAAAGGGGAAGGAGGTGTTTGGGGACAAGGGGGCGGGGCTGAGGGCAGGAAATGAGCTAGGAACCACCATCACCCTCCCTCCACTGCAGGAGCCACAGCCCAGAGCTGAGGAGAGGACAAAGAGGAAATGACAGATTGGGGTGGGGTGGGATGGGGGGGGGGAAACGTGCCCTGCTCTGGGAGGAGCTCCAAGTGCCAAAAACAAGCTGGACTGGGCAGCCAGGACACCTGCGGTCAATTTCAAATCAAATCAAGCTAAGTTTGTGAGTGGCTACTCCATGCCAGGATGAGCCCAGGGTTGTCCCTGCTCCTGCTGGCTTCCGAGCCCCTCTAGGGAACCCAGGGAGGCAGTAGACAGGCCCCAGAGACAGTCCCACATCCACTCCTTTGCACCCTGCACCCCTATCCTCCAACCAGCCCCAGGGCATCTCTCTTACCCTACCCGCATCCCCCATTTCGGCAGCTTCTCCCCTCGCCCTCCGCCCTCCGCGCCTTGAACCTGTTCCTCCTGTGCACAGGGAGGGTCATGGACCCCAGGGAAAGTCCCACCCGACACCCTCGCCTGCAGCCCAGCAAGGCTGCCGAGGGCCCAGAGCCCCACAACCATGTCCCTGGGCGCTCTCCTCCAACCAGGAAACCCCCATCCTCCCCAGTGCCACCCTCAGACTCTCCCAGGGCCCTTCTCCTGCTCCTTTCATTCAGACCCAAGGACCATCTATTGGCCCTCCTGCCACTCATCTGCTGACCCTGTCGTCCCCCCAGCCTCCCGCTCTGTCCCCAGCAGTGATGCCGTCACCTCTCTTTTGCCTACTTCTCTCAGTTTCTCATCTCTCCATCCTCTCCCCACCCCCAGCCTCCCCATCCCCAGGTAGTTACGCAAGGGAGCTCCCCTGCCTTCTCCACTCAGCCACATTTCCTGCCGCACCTGCTCGTCAGCTTCCTGGGCGCTGACCCCAAGCCACTGCCCCTTCGCCATGTCCCTCGGACTGGACCAGATTGCAGAAGCTCCATGCCCCCCACCCAACAGCAGCCCTGAGCCGCCTCCTTACCCTCCTGGCCCGAACGCTGTAGCTGCTCCTGCAAGTCACACCCAAACACCCGCTCCTTCGAGCTGCCCTTCTTCTTTCCTTTCTGCCGAGACTTCATGGCTGGAGCCCCCGGGGCCCTGGCCCAGCCACCTCTGCCTCCCCCCCCAAGACCTTTTGCCCTACCAGCCCCCCATAGGATCCCAAGCCCCTCTGGCCTTGGCCCGGCCCCAGGGGGCAGGGCTCCGAACTGGGGGTGGAGGGTGGCCTGGGCAACAGGCAGCAGCTCCTGCCTCTGCCTCTGGGGCCCCCCGGCTACTACACGGAAGTAGCCGTGGAAGAGGAAGCTGCCAGGACCCTGACAAGAAGCTGTGTCTCGTGGCCCAGGCTGGTACTCGCCCCTCTGGCCCTGCTCAGCCCTGGGGGAGCAGGAAGCTGTGCAGCTCCTCCAGCCCGCTTCCTGTTAGAGCATCTTTGCAACCACAGGGCCTGGGGTGGGGGAGGCAGCTGACATTCACATCCTCAACCCTTCACTGGGACTTCGCTCATTGGTCAAGGCGATGTGACATCAGAGCCCTGGGGTGGGGTGGTGGCGCCTGGGGCGTGAGCAGGTGACTGACACCCTTAGAGACCAGAATTCGGGGGTTCTGGGGTGGAGACTGGAGGCTGGCTTGAAAGCAAGTTGGCACAGTGCCCTGCAAAGTACCCCCCGGAGGGAGGATGCCCAGGCTCAGCCCCAGACAGGCCTGTGACCTCAGTCAAGTCACATTACCTCGCCGGGCCTCAGTGTCCACACGTGTGACCACGAAGGGGGTGAACTAGGTGACCTTTAATCCTTCCAGCTCTTTTTGTGGACCTCACTTGGGTGTTAGCTTCTTTGTAAAGAGGGTATGTACCGCTGTTCGCGCCCAGGCCTGTTTTGGGGAGACTCCGACGCGACCCAGGAGTGATGACACCGCACACGAAGGCGCGGGCTGGGCGGGAAGGGGCTTGCCGCTCTGTCGGCCTACCGGGGACTCTCAGAGGCGGCAGGGGGCATTTCTTTCTCCTTAGCCCCCCAGCCGCAGGCGTCCTGGCTCCTCCCCTACTTGGGGCCGAGGGGAGGAAGGTGCTGGGAAGGTGTCGAGTTGCCCAGGGGCAAGACAGGAACCAGGCAGAACAGCTTTTATCTGTTTATTTAAAAACAGAATATCATTTTATGTACAAATATGCACATATTTACACAAAATGTACATCCTAGGACCCCAGATCGTTGGGCTCCATGTTCAAAGTCCTGGGCTGGCTGGGGAGCAGGGGATGACGTCTCTCTGTTGGTCCAGAAATCCAGCAGATTTCAGGCCAAGCAGGGTTTGGGCACAAAATCTAGGTATTCTGGCTGAGTGTGTTCAGGTGGGCCAGGCAACAGTGGACCGTATCTAACCCCAGCCCAGACCCACAGAAACTGCCAGAAGAGCCCCAGGTTGGTGACCCCAAGGCCCCTGGGGAAAAGGAGACACTCCTGCCCCCAGCAGCTCCTT